GACATTGTCGCGACCTAAAATTTCTCTCAGGCTAATGGATTGTTAAGACTAAGCCTAACTCGGGCCCTCCCAAACCCTACCAATTCACAACTTAGGGTTTAAGTTTTTAACATGCAAAAGTTTTCATGCTTGGAGTCGCCACTAATCTATTTGTGGTAGGTCGATTAGACACCTAAATAAATCATAGGGAGATATGTTTTATCAAAACATTAAATAAATTACAAGATTGAGAGAATTACTTACCTCGAAGCAACGTAAGCATCTGCATTGTTAGCTAGAAAATCACATCATCAATCCCAATATGATTTCTAATTAACGAAGCAGTTCACTCAATATTTTTTTGATTTTCACTTATTTAAATGAAAGCTAACCTATATGTAATGACGTGCAAAAATTAACACGAGATTAATGCAGCGTAACATGCAAACTATATGTCATGCGACGACGTGACATAATTAATGACGGACAAATGATTTATTTTTGGTATTTTCAAATGAAATTCGGAATTAAAAAAATGCCTAAATTAACATGCAATCTATTCTAAAAAAAGGATAATTTAATCTATCCTAAAGTGACTTCTTTTTGGTATTTTTATGAAAATTCGAAATCAAGAATTACCCTAAAATGAGCCATCGAGATTAGGATAATATCTAAATTAAACTAGGAAATAAATTACTCTAATTCCTAATTTAAATTAAAAAGTTAACCTATCGACTTATTCAAAGAAAGCTATTCTAAACCTATCCTAAACATGCATCATTATCTTCTAATAAGATCAATTCAAATCCTAACTAATCTTTTTGGAATTTTCTTTTTAAAGGAAATAATCAAACGAAGATAACAATCACATTCAAACAATCCACGCGATCCGCGAGATTCTTCAAATTCGAGATAAGCGCAAAGAAATCAAACTAACGGTCATATCTATAGGGTTATAGATATCGACAGAAAGTTGATTGCTTAAATTTGGAAAGCAAATAAAATCTATTATCGTATCCAAGTGATTATGGATAAGATAACGATTTTGCGTATCGCCGCGTATCGTACCTGCGATAAGGTCGGATGATACTGCCCGTATACGTTGCTAAATTAGGAATGATTCCTAATTTTGGGTATTTTCGAATATTGTGGATATAGCACACATCATCCTAAGATATCTAGCAATCCACGCACTATTCACAAAATATTCAAACACCCGAAAGATTAGGAAATTGAATATTCTAAGATTATAGATGAGAATCTTACCTAATTTGTGGATATTTCCAATTCGAACTCGGATCGGACTCAGGCTTACGAATCGGGACGGTGACCGACGGCGGATGGCCGATGGCGGCGCAAGGGCAACTCGGCTAGGCGCTGGGCTCACGGACGACGGCAGCAACGACGACGTCGATTTGGGGGGAAACAGGGGCGGCAAGATGGCTCAAATCAGGCCGGCTCAGATCGTGATCAAGACTCCTTTCACGTTCAATGGTCTTCCTTCTTTTGACCAGGACTTTGTCCTTTAGATTCCACCGCTTGGACTCTTTCTTTGACTTTTCTTTGGTTATTCTCTTCGACCCAGCACTCCACTTGCTGCAGGAGATTGTTGAACTCGCCAATCGTTGCACCCAAGGGACTGATTTTGCGTCTGGACTGGGCGCACGAGATTGATCGAGACCGTGAACTCACCCGAGGCGTTGAGATGGCCTACAGAATGCTTCGCCGGTACGAGCGTGCTGGAATTTCGTCGGAGCTGGAACGGTGCAAAGGGACTCGCCCGCGTTGCTTGGAACTCGCTGGACAGAGGAGACTTGATTGGGAACTTCTTGGAACTCACCTTGAAATCTGCCGGAATTCGCTTCGAGATGCTAGTTAGCGATCGAGGACACTTGAAGAAACGCTAGAAAGCCAGAAACGTGGTGATGCGAAGGCATGAAGTTCGGTCGCAGAGACCGAACAGCGACACGGGTCCTTCAAGGAAAAGAAGGGCTTTCTTCTCTGTTTTCACTGGCGTTCTCTCCCTTGGTGTGGCCGTGTATTCCTTCCTGCTTTCCTCTCAGTGGTGGCGTGAATAACTCCAGAGAAAAGACTTTTCCCTATTTTTCCTCTCTGTGTCAAACCTTGACTTTTCAGAGAAATCTTCCCTCCTTCAATCTCATGGCCATCTTTCCCTCTCTCTCACCTCCTTCGGCCTTGTATTGAATTGTCTCCTCTAAAAAATTCTGATTTCCGAAATTATGAGAGCCCTCCTCTTGAGTGGGGTATAATCACATATTTATATCGCAACCCTAGGTTAATTGGCCGGGCTTCCTGGTCCTAATGGGCTTTGGCGTAGGCTTTATCCTTTAATTTTTATTTAATTCCAAATTGACTGAATTGATTTGGGTTTTTCTTTAATTAAGCTTAATGGGCTGATTTAAGCTCAAATTAAGACAACCAAGGCCTTTTAGACTTGTGATTTTTGGCCCCCGTCTTCCGAGTGAGCCGAGTTTCGTTCAGTGCTCGAGCTTGGTTTGCGCGATGGATTTTCAGTTCACTTGCCACCGCCGGTTCGATGTGGAATGCAATTAATCTATATGAACCTAAACTATATGCTATGCGATTTTGATATTTTTGTTTAGGGGTTAAAATTTAATCCCTAATTTTCTATGCAATTAATCACTAAATGGTTAGTCAAAATTTAGGTGTCAACAGACATCGTGCAAAATAAAGTCAAGGCCTAAATAAACATTGCCTCTTTTGGTGGCGTGAGTCCCTTTTTCCATCGGGAGTTCATATAGGATATGCATCGGTGATATTTCTCGGATGATTTAGAAGCAAAAATTGTCCTCTCATATGTTTGGAGGCGCCACTATCTATAATCCAACTTGTGAAAAGATCATTGAGCTAATAGACCATACCTGAGAATTGATCATTAGAAGTGGACGGTTTTATCACCGTAAGCAGATTGACCAAATGCTGATGTTGATCACTGCTCATTGATACTGTTGTCTTAGTCCCCTACGAACCTCCTCGATTGCTATCTACAATGGTGCCATAACCGTTGCTGCTAGTCTATGCGGAATGTACCGAGTGCCTTTCCACCTCATCTTGGCTCCCAATTCAGAGGATATCAAATCAACTCCTGGCAATGACTCTTCTCATGCTCGACCTTCCCACAATAGTCACAATTAGGCTTCCCGAACAATACTTTCATAGGACCTACTTTTCCAACCGAGAAAGCGACACTCTTGATCTTCTCTTCCCTCCCCCAGACAATTCATTGTTGGCGCTCCTCCGGCATGATCAAAGAATAAACCTTATCGAGGGACGAGAGTGGTTCGAGGTTAAGAATTTGAGAAGGAACATTCCCATAAGTCTCAGCATTGAGACCCATAAGAAACTAGTGGATCTTCTCTACCTCCTTCTTCGCGTATTTCGTGGCTGCAACACAGGTACATTCTGAGACGTCATCATAGTCATCGAGTTCATCCCATAAGATCTTCAGTTTGGTGTAATATTCAACCATCAAGAGTCCTTGCTATAGCAGTCCAATCTCGGTTTTGATCTCATGGTTCGTTACCTTAGGCGAAAATCTCCTTCAACTCATCCCGCGTTGCTTATGTTTCCTTTGCGTATGTCACTCTTCCCTATAAATTCTTGTCGAGGGAATTGAAAATCCATGAAACTATCATGGAATTACAAATGTCCTAGGCATTAAATTCAGGTGCTGTCGGATCCGGCTTCTAGAGCGATCTGTTGAGAAATCCGAGTTTGTTTTTCGCCCACAATGTGCATCTTGTCGCCTTCGACCATGTTGCATAGTTATCCTGGGTCAGCACTTAGTAAACGAGCACACTTCCAAGATTGTCCAAGGTGTTGAGATAATACGGTGAGGAAGGGTCAATGACTCTCTTTGCAGATGCTTCCACGGCCATATCACAAACAATGTGGGTTGCATTGTCTAGCATGTTTTGTGTTTTATACGCTCTGCTCCGATACCATGAGAGAATTCGTGATTGCTTTTATTGCTTATCCTACAGTACAAATATTTATACAAGGTATTGCTTAACAGAAAATGATAAAAAGAAAATCTACCAAAAATCTCTGGCTAATTATAAAAGATGTACCAGCCATTATGCTAACTAACAAACAAAAAGAAAATCCTAAATATTGATAAGAGATACGCCAAATATTAACAAAACAGCAAAGAAATCTTCAACAGATCTTCCATAACAAGTTGAGTCAAGTTCGAGTTGTCATCTACTCGAGCTCGACTTGCAATTGCTGTAGCGCCGCCTTCAAATGGTCCGATCACCGATTCGAACCGGACGCAGCTCTCTAGACCTAGCGATTCATTGCGGGCATATTATCATTCACTCTCCAAGCATCAGCTGGTCCATGTACATCACTCTTTCCTCTGCAAAGTTTCCCTCCTCCAATCATTCACGATGAGCGAATGATATATGGTGGGAAGCTCCCCATCTCGATCTTGAAAAACCAGCTTTGCCTTGTCCATGGAGTGCACATACACTGTCAAGTCGGTTTGCATTGTTTACTGATAGATGGCAGCAGTTCTTTGTCTCTCTCTCTCTCTCAAACTTGTCATTAGCTCCAAGAAGGGTCGCAGACTCGGTAAGAAAGAAACACAGCTCGACGACTTCATTAAGAAAACCGAACAAATGTGAGGGCAACTGCCAATTTGAAGGCAGAGAGGAAAGGGTTAACAGGTCGATCCACGGGGTCAGGTCAAGCCGGCCTGGTCGGCAATCCGGGGCCCCACCTCCCTATCCGGAAGATCCAGCTTGCCGCTGTATTTCGAGGCAACCAACAAAATTACCATGCTACCCTTCTCCCTTCCTAGGAAAGGACAAGGTCGCCGATACGTAAGTCGTCGCGGGGGTCACTTTGGTCATTTGGACAGCCGTCTCCGCGCCAGCACAAGGAGGGAGAGGCACTGTTTAGCCTCTCTTGGCCGTTAATATCACAGCCCCTTCGACTCCACTCGCCCATTTTCGGCACCACCGCCAGCAACCACCATGACCGCCGCCGCAACCGCGGTGCCCTCCGAGATCCTCCGCCTTTCCGCCGCCTTCCTGTCCGAAGCCCTCTCGCAGGCCGAGCTCCGCCGCAGGATCTTCTCCGCCTTCCGCCGGAGGCTCCCGCAGCCCAACCCGCTCCTCCGGCCGCTCGAGCTCGCCGCCGAGACGGTAGAGAATGCCATCTCCACCGTGAACCCTTCCGTCCGGTCCTCCTCCCTCCACCTCGCGGAGAAGCTCCTCCTCTCCCACCCAGAGTCCTCCTTCTCCTCCTTCCTCCTGTCCCTCATCTACTCCCTTCGGGATCAGCCTCGTGACGCGGTTCTCCGCCTGATCGATGTCTTCTCCTCCGATCCCTCCCTCGCTCGGTCGGAGATCGCGCCAGCAATCTTTGAGGACCTCTTCCTGGTCCACCTCATCCCCGTGCTCGAGTGGTTTAACGACCAGAGGTCGAAGATCATGGCGAGTTCAGGCCCGGTTCATCTCGAAAGCCAGCTCAACGACGACTTCTCGTGCGACATGTCGGTGGTTCTTCCATGCACGAAGGTGCTCTCAAAGATGAGCGGAGACCAGGCGGCGAAGCTGAAGGAGCTGGAAAGCAACTACGAGCGCGTGATCGACGAGAACTGTGCGGTCTTTGCAAGGTACTTCAGGGAAGTCCTGAAGAGCGGAGACGGAGGCAGGGCAGTGAAGCCGCCGCCTGTGGTGGTGGAGAAGAGAGGGAGGGTTGACGTGCTGGAGGAGGATGAGGAGACGACGGAGGACCGGACGGCGGATTCAGAGGCGAGCGGCTTCAACCATGGACGCTATAACGTAATGCACTTTCTTCTCCTGTTTTCTTTTTCTTCTTCAAGTATCATTTCTCAATAATCTTTTTTTTTTGTTCCCATTCATGTTAAGAAAAAGGTAAGGTGCACTATATATATATATATTTAAAACCAATACAAGAAAAAAGATGTAAATAACTCCACATAGCAACACTGGTGTGTGTATACTTATATGAGTAAAATGTTTGTATTTTTCCATATACTATATATATAATATATGTATATTCATTGGTATTTTCATATTTCATTAGATAACATAAGATGAAATTTGATTATTAGATGCATTCTTTCATTAAACCTATTCCAACTCGAATTTGATATACAACCTGTTCCCAATTATGAAATACGGTCGTTTTTAAATTTTACAAAATAAATCGGAGCACGAGACGATGGCGGGGCAAGTTTTGCACTCACGGGACAGGGATGGGGAACTTGATCTCCATCACCATCACCGTAGCGTTCCATTCCCATTTCAAAATGTGTATTCGAACGAGAAAAGATATACCAACAAACCATTCCAAAAATCAGTTTCGCCGGTCAAGCCTTTTTCATAAAATTAATCTACACTAACATCTTTTTTCGCGGCCATGTATATATCCAATAATGTCTTTATAGGAATAACATCACATCGGGATTCATTCTATTCTATAAATGACGCGGTGAATGCTATCAATCATGACGACTCGAGTTTCTCTTTTCAGGACGTATGTAAATCTCGATATGATTTTCGATCGAAAAAAATCTCAATACGATTGATTTAGGTTTCGTTTGTTTTGCGAAAAATGAGTAAATTAGAAAATGTTTATCGCTTGAAATAATTAGCCAATAAAAAAAAATTTCATTATCGATAATAATTTATGTTTAAATATTTTCGTGGATGACGAGAATATTCTTCGTTAATTCATTTTAGTTAGCAATAAAAGTTATTATTTTGAGAAAATTATTTTTTAAATTATTTATTTTTCTTGAAACAAAGGCGGCCTCTCTCTTTCAACACAAAGATTTGACTCTGTCAAAGTTCTTCGAAAATGAGTTTGACCCGGTTGTGGTCCTGGTTCCTGCTGTCGACGCTGTTCCGCCGGTGGTGACCCAGGCTGTCGTTCTTCGTCTCGTTTCCAAAGCACCGTCAAGAGATGGACGTCAAATTAAAAATCTGCTAAAACCCAAAAGGCACTTCTCCTATCGCTGTTTCAGCAGGATTTTCCGGGAAAAAGTCGCCGTCGCTTTCTCTCGTGGGTCATTCATTCATGAACGAAATATGGTCACGTGGCGAGTTCCTTTTTCTGGGAAAAGTCAAACATATTTGCTGGGTTGGATGCGTTGAAACCGATAAGGGCTTGTGTTGGTTACAATGCGACTTTGAAGTTCAGCTTAACTGTTTGGACGCTCAAAGTCTTCTGCAATCAATCTTTGTTTGGTGCAGCCAATATGGGCCGAAGGTGACCGGTCAGTTGAACACTATAGCATCGGTGGGAGCAGCAGCCACTCGCCATCTTATTCTTATCCTCAAAGGGTCTCTGCAGCTTCACTCGCCGGCACCGCCACCGCTCCGAAGAGCCAGAAGAGGCCTCCCCCCGCCGTCGGATCGACGCCATTTCCTCCGGCGCCGCCCACTTCCACTTCAGATTCCGAAACCTCCGGCTCCTCGTCAGAAGGAGACGATTCGGCCGCAGGGTCTTCTTCCGAATCCGAGGCCGAAGACGAGGTGAACCCGAGCGACACAAACAAGAGAGAGAGATAGAAAAATTCTCTGCATTGGACTCATCGACCTGCGCCAACTCTTGTCTTGGTTTTTAATGTTTTCGTGTCGTCTTCTTGTCTTCTAGGAAAGGAACAGGAGCATGGCCTTGTTCGAGCCTAGGAAAGCCCATCCTCAGAAACCAACGGATTCCAATCCTGCAGAGCCGAGTTGGTGGGTGAAATTTTGAAATTTAAGTCTTTTATCTTATCATCACTACCCTGTCCCTTGTATTTTTTCTGATTTTGCTTACGTTGTGTTTACAAACATTCTTGTTTATAACTATCAGCCCCCCGGGACGCCTCATGGCAGAGTCCGAAAACCCTCCTGGTGGTGGAAAACAGACCCCTCCTAAAGACTTCGTTTGTCCCATAACGAGCAACCTCTTCGACGACCCGGTGACTCTAGAGACTGGCCAGACGTATGAGCGCAGAGCGATCCAAGAGTGGCTCGACAGGGGGAGCTCGACGTGCCCGATCACGCGCCAGAAGCTGCAGAGCACTCAGCTCCCCAAGACGAACTACGTGCTCAAACGCCTTATAGCGAGCTGGCAGGAGCAGAACCCCAGTGCCGTTCTGGACAAGTCCGAGAATTATAGCCTGGAGGTTACGCCGATTGTGAAGCCGATGATGCACTCGACCTCGCCAAATAGTGTCATCAGCCAAGCAAGCCTCGATGGAACGGTGAGCGAGCTAAGGCATAGTATCAACAAGCTCTGTATGTCGGAGGTCCTGGAGGAGTCCGAGATGGCCGTCCTCCGGATCGAAAAATTCTGGCAGGAGGCCAGTTTGGGAATCAACATTGTGAACATGCTCTCGAAGCCTCCCGTCGTAAACGGGTTCGTGGAGATCCTATTCAATTCTGTGGACACCAGGGTCCTGAGGGCAACGGTTTTCCTCCTGTGCGAACTGGGATCGAGGGAGAAATCTGTTGTTCAAACGCTCACTCAGGTCGACTCCGATGTGGATGGCGTAGTTGCTCTGTTGAAGAAGGGTCTGCTGGAGGCCGTCGTGCTGATATACCTGTTGCGGCCTTCGGTGATCAGCCTCATAGAAATGGACATTATAGACTCCCTGTTAGTGGTCATCAAGAAGAGCCCGGACGAGTTGATGTCAATGTGCTTAAAGCCAAGGACAGCATCGGTTCTTTTGCTAAGACAGATTCTCGGGGGCTGCCAGGAATACATGGCGGCTGCAATGACTATCAAGGTAATATCAGCAGGCGTTATCGACAGTATCATAGGGAGTTTGGACGCAGAATGGTCTGAGGAGAGGATGGCTGCAGTCGTCGTCTTATCGAAATGCATGCAGGAAGATGGGAAGTGCAGGAACATGATCGCAGATAAAGCTGAGTTAGCTCCTGTACTAGAAAGTTTCGTAGGCGCAGCTGATGCAGAGAGATTTGAGATAGTTCATTTTCTCTCCGAGCTAGTTAGGCTAAACAGGTAGTTTCAAAAAAGCAGTTGCTTACTGAATGCAGAGAATTTTATTATCTATCACGACTCACGAGTACTATAAATCTATCGTGGACGGTTCAATGAATATGATGCTGTTTGCATTTGAATTCCACCAGGAGGACATTCAATGAGCAAGTTCTTCACATCATAAAGGATGAAGGTGCCTTCAGTACCATGCACACTTTCCTTAATTATCTGCAGACGGCCCTCCAAGAACAATGTCCTGTTGTAGCCGGTCTCCTTCTCCAGCTGGATCTACTGGTTTTGATCTCTCTCTCTCAGTTAATCCACAGTTTAGAACTCATTATCTTTGGTGAAGCCGCACCTGATATATCCATATCTTAAATTCTTTAGGCAGAGCCTAGAAAGATGAGTATATACCGGGAAGAGGCGATAGATACCCTTATTTCATGCCTCAAAAATACCGACTTCCCTGCTGCCCAAATGGCTGCTGCCGAGACAATCGTGTCGTTACAAGGGAGGTTCTCTGCATCTGGAAAGCCCCTTACCCGGCCTTTCCTTCTAAAACGTGCGGGACTCGAGAAGAGATATAGAACTGTAATGCGAATGGAGAATCTCGGCAACAGCAATGTCGAATTTGAGGAAAGTCTGGTGAGCATCTATGAAATTTGCTTTCCACCAGTATGAAGATGCTTTGGGCCATTGAAAATTTTTAACATTTTCTTTTCCCTCTCCCTTGATTTTTAATGACATTAGCGAGAAGAAGAGAAGGCAGCTGATGATTGGGAAAGGAAAGTAGCATATGCTCTGGTAAGCCATGAATTCGGTCTGCTTTTTGAGGCCTTAGCAGAAGGCTTAAAAAGCAGATATGCAGATTTATGTTCAGCATGCTTCGTGTCTGCCACATGGCTCGCGCACATGCTTGGCATTCTCCCGGATACTGGGATTCGAGGAGCAGCCCGAGTTTGCCTGCTCAAACGGTTCCTGCAAATATTCAAGTCAGCAAAAGACGTTGAAGATAAAGCCCTTGCTATGCTCGCTCTAAACAGCTTCATCCAGGATGCTGGTAGGTAGCAGTATGAATTGCATGCCTTTAGTAAAAGAATGCTCAGTCGCGTAACATAGATTAAATGCGAGATTGGAAAAATGGTGCTCAATCGAATACATGGATTTAATCATTAAGTAATGGAAAAGGCAAAACAGATAATCAGCTGAATTTGCTTCTAGATGCACCTTAATACAGAATATTTAATCAGGACCTTTTATCTACTTATCTATACTTTCATTCAGAATGAATCGCACTAGTTTATTCCTTTAATTTTTGAATTCCAGAGGGTCTGCGTGATCTAGCTCCCTCGATGAAGGATGTCTTGAAAGGTTTGCGGGAGCTGAAGAAGCACTCTCCTTTTGCATTCGAGATGTTGAAAGTTCTCTCCGAAGGAAGTGAATCTAGTGCTGTAAGCCTGTCGGACTCTGCATCCTCTTCAAAGTGGCTTTTGATTGTATCTGCTTATCAGGTGGTCCTTCACTGCAGGACCTCTGGAATCACAAGGAATTAGTTCAAGTTGATTGCAGCCACAGCGGAGAAGTTCTGTCGATAGTTTGTTACAAGGACATTATATTTTCTGGCCATTCTGATGGCACGATAAAGGTAACTCTTCCCAGCAGCGGTACCTGTAATCAGTTTCAGCTAATGAATCTCATAGTGTTGGCAGACTAGTCGATCACAATTTCATATTAGTTTATGAACAGTATGAAATTCTGATGTACAATCAGTAATGGCTGTAGTCAATACTAGCCTAAGCTAAAATATGGTCATGTGAAATCAGTACCTGACCCTTCTGTTTCTTTTTTTTTTTTCAAATTTGAAGGTATGGACGGGGCGGGGAAGCATTCTTCATCAAATCCAAGAAGTACGAGAACACACCAAGGCAGTGACCAGCCTGGTGATATCACAATCTGGAGAAAGACTGTACAGTGGTTCTCTCGACAAAACGACAAAGGTACGCTCGAATAGATTCCAGGACTTAGGAATGCATTAATCTTGTGAGGTCGGAAAAAATTCCTACACTTTGTTCTGATGATACATCTTTCTTTCTCTGTTGAGCAGGTGTGGTCTATTGGCGATGATGCAATACATTGCGCTGAAGCACATGATATGAAGGATCAGGTTCATAATCTGGTCGTGGCTAATAGTATCGCGTGTTTCATTCCACAAGGAACTGGTGTAAAGGTAACTTGTGAAATATCGTAAGAGCGTTACATTCAGATGACCAAAAGTGAAGAATTTCATGGAGCACATGCGAGATAATCGTGCAGATGTCCAAGGCATCAATTAAACCTGTCAAGGTTTTAGGTCAACTTGGGCTAGCAAGCTGTAGTTCATCTGCAGTATGAAATAATTTCCGTGTATTTCTTGAAAGACAATGGCCTTGGACCATTTAATCTGTCTCTTCATAACTGAACAACGTAACATCAAAGCTGCCATTCAATTCAATCAACCCTGAATATGCCAAGATCAGTTCAAATAGCACATTAATGTCGCCAAACTCTCAATCCGTCACCCCGGCTTGTAATTGTTCTTTTCCTTTTTCTCTATCAGGTTCAGTCATGGAACGGGGGTTCAAAATTATTGAATCAAAACAAACATGTTAAGTGCTTGTCTCTTGTGCAAGGAAAACTGTATTGCGGATGCCTTGACAGTAGCATTCAGGTACCAGCTTTTTTCTGCTCATTGCTCTGTTAGTAGTGTTTTTGCGTACATATAAATCCATTTGTCGCTTTATGGCTATATCTTTTGCTCCTATTGGAGCACTGACTGTCGGAATTTGGTTGAACCAAGGAAATCGATTTGGCATCGGGGACACTCAACAGCATTCAGAGTGGCTCTCGAAAATTACTCGGAAAAGGAAATCCAATCCACGCACTCCAGCTTCACAGTGGATTGATATATTCAGCCAGCTCTTCCTTGGATGGAGCAGCCGTTAAGGTATCCATAATAAGGAAGAACATGATATATCTTGTGTTGCCATAGTTATAGGTTGCTACATCTTTGTATACAAATGTAGATGTAAGAAGCTATACAGATAGATTTTGTGGCCTAACTCTTGTGATTAGTTGAGTCGTGCTTTGCCGACATCTAGGATGTGCCGACAATTAATTACTTTCTCGCTGGTGTTATTTAGGACCCTTCAAAATCCCACAATCTTGCCAACTTTTGTAAAAGTGGTTATTGTTTAGTTATGTGGTAGCATTACATCTGTTTGTGGCTAATGACGTTGTCTTCCTTGGATTGCCAACAGATATGGAACGCTTCCAATTACGAGCTCGTAGGAACGCTGCCATCAACAGCGGATGTTCGAGCTATCGCAGTGAGCTCGGACCTCGTTTACTTGGGCTGCAAAGGTGGAATAGTGGAAGTCTGGTGCAAAGAGAAGCATCAGAGAGTAGAGGCACTACAGAGCGTAACGAATGCCAAGATTCACTGCATGGCCCTTAACGGTGACGAAGAGTTCTTGGTGATCGGTACATCGGATGGGCGGATTCAGGTGCATATCCTAACCTTGAATCAATGAGCTTGGATTTATGAAAGACGACGAACCCTGGTTATTCCATTTTCAACCGTTTCTTCTGGTTTTAAGATCATATGATAATGCGCATTACAATCGACAGTTGCTGATAAAAAGCAACATTGGTTAAATTGTTGAGCATTTTACTGTTGAACTAACAGAACGATTTAATATTGCGCTTCGCAGGCATGGGGTTTGAGCTGAAGAGAAGCCGCGGCTTTTGTTGATCGGTGTGGATAGACAAGAAAATCGAAGACTAATATGACCCGTGAAATTCTTTTTTTCCCATCCAATAAGCATCCTCAACAAAGTTAGCATGCATGTTCTTGATAATTTGACTGTATATAGCTCGAGTTCAATAACGGATACTGTCAGAAAAATCCATTCTTCATCCATTGAATAGATTGGTGCTTGTAAACAAGGACCATGAAACCCTTTGACGTTAACAGCATTCTTTAGATCATCAGTAGAACCGTAAATAACCAGTCGCTCGCATTACATCTATGCTTGCCGCGTACAAGATTTTAAATCTTCATCGTTCTCGAAAATTTGATGCCGAAGTACACACGAGAGTTCGAATGCTACATTTCAGAAAATCCTATACAAGGCGTATGTCTAGTCTTTATCAGCTCCATCTGTGGTATGACAGTCTGCGGAAGTTCATTTCAAGATCATGTCCTCCCAATTTTTTAGACAAATTTCGCAAGACATGGTAACAAACCGCATGCCAAATATTTTCGACATCGGCAAAGTCTGATGATGTGTCTTGAATGCTGATAAAGAAAGTAAAAACTTAAACCCTACAACATCGGCACAATTTGTTGAAGCGTTAGGGAACATTTAGCTTGGAAATTAAAGGTCACTCGTTTAAATCGGACCAACTACGTGCAAAATCTTAGATATCTGCAGAAGTCAAATTTTGAACTTAACCGGTTCATGAAACTTATAGAGTGCCCCATATGACTCTTACCTAAAGTTACATAACGACGAATTTAGAAGATAAAGCAAAGAAAATATTTGTTCTACCTCGATGATTACCCCGTTTCTAGGGTGCTTAACCGGTGGTGTCAATTGATACCGATCTTGTTGATGGAAAAGCTGAGATGAAGAAAACATAAATAAACACAAGCATCGCCAACTGAGGATGTGGTGGCGGCCGGTGGTGGGCGGCGGGCGGCGGCAGTGGCGGGAGGAGGAGGATAATCTCAACGGAATCATGTGTAATTCATCTTACTAAAGTAAAGCCCAAATGACTTTGCAGATGGGGCTTTCCTTCAAGTAAATGGTAGCAAAGCCGGCACATGAAGGGTCAAAACGAGGAACAGTCGTCGTCTGCGCATTTGATTTTCGCAGGGCTCCAACGTCATCCTCTCTTCCTTGTACGATGAACCCAACCTAGTTGTTTTTTTTTTTTATGGTTATTTTCCATATTCAAATATATGCTGAAAACACTCCCCATGCTTCCTCCCTAGATGTGCGCAGACCAATTAACATTCATGAAACTATTCACCATTCTGAAGAAAGGTTTCAAAACAACAACACACACGAAAGGGTTCGATCAAATTTACCCACCAAACCGAACTGGCAAATATAGTTTGATTCCGTCTAACTCTGAATCCACTTTATGGTTTTCCGTTAGTTTCACGTATTTTACAAATTGAAAGTGTTCGACAGACTTATCAAACGGTATGCTCATTCTAGATGAATAATGGCAATCGGAGTTTCTTTAAACTAAAGCTGATTTAAGAAGTAATTTAAGTGCAAGGGCTAATGATATTGGTCAATAGTGGGATTTGGTTGACCATCATCCAAATGGATACCAAGTTCAATTTACAAGTCATCATGCGAGCTTGTCATTATCATACATCTCCCCTAACATTGTAAAGCTAATTCCACGACTAGCATTAATGAATCGGTCGGTTTTTTTCCTCCCATTTAATATGTAAACCCAAAAAAAAACACAAAACCCCTCTTATTTTTTCCCAAAAAGTAACCGAAAAACAGGACAAAAAGCATTAATATTCGACGGGTGCAGCCCTACCAGACCACCTGAGAAAAGGTTCATCGACTGCTCCTGCCAGGATCCGCCCGGTGCCAAGTGAGTTCACAGATTATTGTCTTCGACAAAACAGATAAATAGAGCCAAAATAAATGGAGTTTATTAAATAATAAGCATTTATGGATGCCAAAATGACTTAGGATTGGGATTGGACCCAACAGTTCCGTGAAAAACAAAATGGCTAAAATCACCAAAAACTTCAAATTGATATATCCGTGTCATATTTACTATAAACTAGTTTTTCGTGACAAAAAATCTTGAACCGATACACTTATATCACGTTTATCCCAAAAAAGTGTACTCACGTCATATTTACCTCAAATTGTGGTAATTTTCAGGATTCCTTGTTGGAAAGTGTGGCACGAGTTTATTAATTTGAGACAATGACACAAGTGGCCCCTGAACTTTAGCCCAATATATAATGTGATCCCTGAACTTTGTTCGATGTACAATGCGATCAATGTTCAGTATGATCCTTAAACTCTATAAAAATGTTTAATATTATCTTTGGACTTGAATCAGTGGAATGATAGCATTAAATATTTTCATATAATTCGGAAACTATATTAGAAGGGCAAGATTAAATATTTTCAAATTATAATTCGAGGACTAAATTGAATATACATCGCAAGCTAAAATTTAAAGACTATTTATATCATTATACCTATTAATTTAGAATTCTTCACGGCACAAAAATTAATTTGGGGTACACATAGTGGGGTACTAATCAGATTTCTCAATCTTAAGTTTTGCATGTGTGGTCGGCAATCGAGACAGGGCATCACGGGCCCCACGTCCGGCCCCCCACCCAAAAAAAACCAACACAAGCCCTCTTCTGCACGTGTCTGAACAGCAACATTTGACCACGGCAATTAATCCAATGTTTCAATCTCTCTGTCTCCTTGTGGTTTGGCCTCTCAGAGAGAGAGAGAGAGAGAGGGAGCTCCTGCTCTTTTCTCAAACATGCTTTGCAGCAACAACCGAAATCAATTGCTTAATCCTGCTGGTGCTGGCGACGGCCAAGCATCGGCTGTGTCGTTTGCTGGTGTTTTCTTCCTTCTTCCTTCTTCAGTTGCCAGCTTCATTAGGCCCCACTAGGCTTTTTCTCTACGACTTTTCTTTCCTTTGTGGGTTTGGTTTTTGTATTTTATCTTTAGGTACAATTGGGATATCTAAGTGTCGGTTGGCGACCGACTAGCTCACACTAGGTCCCGAGATTCCCTCATCCCGACCGCATCGGATGGTTACAGAATCGCGTGCTCTCTAGGGTTGATCAAAGAGATCAGAGACGGATTTTCTATGTCATCCATGCAAGTGATTGCCGAATCACACGACTACACGAGGCATTTCGTTTTTTTATGGTGACTCTAAGGGAATGCATACACATGGTGATTCAAACTTATTCTTTGGAAAGTCGGATTGAATTTTTACTAGATGAGTTAAATCAGAGTGTATAAGTGAATGTATCATGACGCATTGACAGCTCAAATAATGTGTGTTTTGTTTCGTACTTTCTCAACTAAAATACATTAGCACTAACTTTATCATCTAGTTAGCCCTCAACCACTCTGCATAATTATTCGTATGCAGTCTCAAATTAACAGGAAGGACTAATAGCTATAGGGACCACAAGACCCATCATTGTCTGTTTGTTTAACTTGGTCCCAAGTCACTATAATCTATTCAAATTGACATAGAATGTGCAAAAGATGAAAAGATAATTTATATGTACTTGTTATTTAAAAAAAATTGTTGGTGGATTAGACTAAATACATATGTGCCAAGATCAATTAGAAACTATTTGCAAATTCTTGACATGCATCCTCCACGATACAAACTCTCTTGCATCCCATGTCTTGGAACTAATACAAGTTTGCTAAGGCTGCACATGGCAACTATTCTGTGTTCGAGAATAGATTCTGTTCAGAAATGATTCTTTTTTATTCCGTGCCCGGAAACAATTTCTAAGCATTTGACGGCGTTTGGTAACTGCCCAAAATTTCTATTCTTAGAACAGAAAAAGAACAGAAATGTATTTAGTAACTACACAAAATTTCTTTTTATTAATAATATTTTGAATTTTTTAATATTTCTTTCTTTCTTTTTCCTTTTTTTTTTTTTTTCCTTGGCCATGGCCGTCGTCAACCCAAAGCCGACCGACAACACCGCCGGGCCTGGCCGCGACGGTGAGGCGGCCTCACGGCCAACCTCGCCGCGCCACTCGCGCGGTCGCGAGGCTCGACCTCACCCGATCGGCGAGGTCGGCCTCGCTATGGCCGAGCGAGGCCGACCTCGCCGTCGCCACCCCCCGCGACGGCGAGGTTGGCCTCGCCTTGGTCGGGTGAGGCTTGACCTCACCCAGATCTGGCGAGGCCGACCTCGCCGTCGCCGGGGGCGGCAAGGATCGACCTCGCCATTGCTGGGGGCGGCGAGGGCTGCCCTCACCGGCTCTGGCCGGTCGCCGGTCGTCGGCGGTGGGCCGGGAAGAAGATGAAGAACAAATAAAAAAAAGGGTTAATACCACGAAAAACCCCAAACTGATACACCTGTGACAAATTTACCCAAAACCATTTTTTTGACCACAAAAAACCCTAAACTGGTACACCTGTGACAATTTTACCCCGACCTATTTTTTTGACCATAAAAAACCCCACACTGGTATACCTGTAATAATTTTACCCCCGAACTAATTTTTTGGCCACCAAAAATCCCAAACTGGTACACCTATGACAAATTTACCCTCCGTTAGTTTCCGTTAAATTTACTGTCAAATTGCTAAGTTTAATGACACGTGGTAATTGACATGTGTACCGATTTTGGATTTTACCCCTCTGTTTGTCACAAGTTTACCAATTTGTGATTTTTGTGATATTAATATAAGTTAACGGACACTAACAGAGGGTAAATTTGTCACAAATGTACCAGTTGGGGTTTTTAGTGGTCAAAAAATTTGTTCGGGGGTAAAATTATCATAGGTGTACCAGTGTGGGGTTTTTGATGGTCAAAGAAATGATTCGGGATAAAATTGTCACAAGTGTACCAGTTTAGGGTTTTTGGTGATCAAAAAAATAGTTCGGGGTAAAATTGTCACATGTGTACCAATTTAGGGCTTTTCGTGATATTAACCCAAAAAAGAAAAGAAGAAAATCAAGAAGAATCAGAAATGAAAAAATTGTTCCAGAATCAAGAAGCTACTTTTTTTTGCTTCTTGATTCTGTTTTAAAACTGATTCTGGGAACAATTTTTTGTAAATTTGTGCCCCGGCACAAAAATTTTAACAAACGAATTTCTGTTCCCAAACTGATTTTAGGAACAAAAGAACATAAATCTTTACTATTTGGCAAGTTGTCAAATGCCCCGAAGTGCAATATTGGATTTTCCTTTGATAATCTCGTAATTCCAATGTGTGACAAAGTCAAAAACATATAACATGATTAAATCTTTCCAGCTTTTTTCAGCGATAGAGATTTCGTATTTTATCTGACATTGAACACCATGATATTTTTTAGAATACATGAATTATCCCTTAAAGTAAATTTCGGTAAGATTTTATAGTTGAACGGTTCATATGAACTCATAATTGTCTTAACAAGAAAGCCCAAAAGTACTTCATTTGCTGTTGCACCTATCTCTCCCTGAAATAGCTCCAAAACCCTAGGGAGATCTTGACTAGAAGATGGCAGAGGATTAATCATGACATTATATAGCATTGGTTGAAAAAACAAACCTAGCTTTATTAGGGATGTAATGTTTCACAGTTGGAAGCCACCCCTGAAAAATGTTAGGTTCCATAGACCGTGGGTGCCGTTGGATACCGGGCCCCATCTTGGTGCGTTTGAAATATAATAATAATAATATGAACTTTGTTATGCATTTTGAAATCTATTGGTTTTTAAAATCGTCAAGGGAAAATCTATTGGTTTTTGTACATAGAGAAACCAAAAAGTGCAGACTGCAGTAGATGGAGACCCTTTGACTACAAGCCACTGCATCTCTCTCTCTCTCATATTTAATTTCTTGGATTCTTAAACTACAAAGAGCCTGGCAACAACTCTGAACCAACCCAGATGCTATTTTGCCCTTGTTTCTTCTCTCTTCCATCTGTGCAAGCTTGTTTTTTTCCTCTGAGAGGGAGGTAGGTATTGTGACTGTTTAGCTGAGAGCTCAAGTTTCTTGCTGAAGAGTATTGAAGAGGAGGAGGATGATGAGTGCTTCCAAGTTCATCAAGTGCGTCACTGTTGGAGATGGGGCTGTGGGCAAGACCTGCATGCTCATCTGCTACACCAGCAACAAGTTCCCGACAGTGAGCCTCGGTCTTTTCTCTTATTGAATTTGTTGCTCTTCTGAAGTGGTCTCTGTTCCTCCATTTGTCTTGTCTTTTCAAGGATGACTCCTTTGGCTGTACAAAATGCGATCTTCAGAAGGTTTATGATTTGTGTATACTATGAAAAACCAGCCGAAACTCCCCTCTTTAATCCTACTTTTCTCCTGCTGTTTTGTTGCAGGATTATATACCAACTGTGTTTGACAATTTCAGTGCCAATGTGGCTGTGGATGGAAACATTGTTAACTTGGGACTGTGGGACACTGCAGGTACTTACAATAGTGTCTGCAAATGCATAGATGACGGTTTCTTCTTGTTGTGAGAGCTTGGGCTTGGGGGACTTTTGGTTCCTTTTCTTTTCTTTTAGTAATTTTGTGTTGCCTTTTTGATGTTGAAAGGTCAGGAAGATTACAGTAGATTGAGGCCGTTGAGCTACAGAGGGGCAGACATATTTGTGTTGGCCTTTTCACTAATCAGTAGAGCAAGCTACGAAAATGTCCTAAAGAAGGTACTCATTATTCCCGTGGTTATGCCTTTATCTCACTTTTTTTCCCCTTTGTCCTCTCTCACCTCACTTCCTTTTGCCACTTTTCAGTAGTGCACATTTTTCAGATCCTGCCAGATGAAAGTGGCTCATTTTAGTTTCAAACTGTTCACTGAGCCATACACTTTCTCTTTATGTGCTTGTGTGTATTGATCAAGTTAGCCGTTCCTGTTGTTTTTGAACTATTAGTGGATGCCCGAGCTCCGTCGGTTTGCGCCTAATGTTCCCGTCATTCTCGTGGGAACAAAGTTAGGTAGGTAGAAAACCAGCTAGTTTGTATCTATAACGAGCCTTCTTTGTTTCACGGCAGAGAATAAATCAGCAATTGACATATTCTATCTTGTAAATTGTGTCAGATCTTCGTGAGGACAGGGGGTATTCAGCTGATCCCATGGGATCTAACATCATAACAACTGCTCAGGGAGAGGAGCTCCGCAAGCAAATTGGCGCTGCAGCTTATATCGAGTGCAGCTCAAAGACTCAGCAGGTAAATCGAAAAATCTACCGACAAAGTTTTACTTTTCGGAGGACCAAAGCTGATAGTTTGCCTTTTGCTGTGTTAGAATGTTAAAGCTGTCTTTGATACAGCAATCAAGGTGGTTCTCCAACCTCCGAGAAGGAAAGAAATGCCGAGTACTAGAAGGCCACGGAGGTCTGGCTGTGCGATTGCGTAAGTTACATCGTTATCTTCTCTGTCTGGAGCTCTTTCTTGCTGATCATAATGCTTTCAACGGGCAATACTATCCGTAACTTTCATTCGGGAATTGAATTTGCAAATGTGGTATTTGGGTGGACTATCTTTAACTTGCGACTATTTCTGGCATGGCAGAGAAAGACGAAGTTTCTCTGAAAACTTATCGTCTCAGGGATTCACATTCATAGCTGCCCACAGATATATTATAGAATTAGTGAAGGTCCAAACCAAGATCTTTAGCTATTAGAGGGAGATGGGCTACATGTATGTTATGCCCTTTAAACCTCATGTTTAAGCTTTAAGCAATTTGCGAGATCCCATAACAAGCGGTGTGAAGAAAGAGAGAAATTTCAGTACTTGTCAGCATTTCTAACATCAGCACATTTGAATTATACAGGAGGCATGTAAATTCCTAGAAAAATCACCCACTTCATTGGAAACATTCACTAGAGGAATACATGACCAATGCTTCTGTTAACGGATGTTTCATGCTTTATAGATGAATTATAGAAATGTTTGCGAAGATCGTCAAGTAGTATCTTCACCCCATATCAGTTATCAATCTGCTTTTCTTCTGCATCCTCCTGGGCAGAAAAGTAATAAGCCCTCACACGATCCCAATTCAGATGTTACAGTAATGTATCATGTTGCGAATAAGAAGACAAGTGATCTTTTATAGTGATAGAAATGTGGAAGTTCTTAGCCATGCATGCTTATTTTCTTTACATCATAGTCTCGGTGATTAGACAAAATCAAGCAGTGTTTGGGCAGGTCTCTCAATTTTCTTGAGATGCAAGAATCTCATTATGGACTTAAGTTCTCTGATGAGAGTTAATACAAGAATCAGATATCTGTTGGCTCATTTATTTCAATCCTGCAAAAGCTAGACCAAAGCAACAACTGCAATGCTCCTCTCGGGCATAAAACTGTGCATAATCTATTTAGATCTGATTGAGTTATCTAGAAAAAACTCTGAAGAACGGGTCGATTAACATTATAGTTGTGCTACTGAATTCGGTAGCTTACAGCATCATTTAGTCATTTTGAATGTACTCCTAAATCTGCAAACCTCGACTCTTTCTTACTTGTACCGTGTACCGATTGCAGGAGCATCATGTGTGGAGGTTGCGTAGCTTAAGATGTCTGGAGTCGAGACTGGCGACCGACCTCTCAGATGGTTAAGCAAATGCTTGCCGAATCGCTCACCGGAAAACGGGTGGAAAAAAGAAGATTGCCATGACTGACCTGTGATTAGTTGTGTAGGCTGTAGCTGCTGCAATATTAGAAGGGGTTGAGTTGTACTTTTAACTTTTATTTTTAGTTTTCCCCTATGAACTGATGAGTGTTGTGGAGGGAATTGTTCATTCTCTCATATACTGCCTACTACTATGTTTCTTCCTGTCCATGGCATTACCATTGTGCACTGTTTCCTGTCCTGTATCAGACATGTTATGAGATGATGGATTGACTATTTCTTATGTGTCTCCGATATATCGATCCCACACAACCCTCATTAGCTCATGTTTGCCGGTTCGACACGAAGATTATATTTGTAAAAAACCACAGTATTGAAGCAAAGAGAAATGCTTTGGTTTCTTTTATTGTTTCCAGTTGATGCTCAGTGTCATTACCAAGCTAGGTGGCGCTTGAGTTTGATCACCAAGATTGTCTTCTCTCTGATGGTAACTCCCCTGTGGAAAATCGACTTCATCCGTTTGAAGCTCCGGCACGTTCCGGCTAGAACATGACTAGTATCACCCTCGACAAGATGACACTCCAAGCATACCGACGTTGGCAACCTGACCGAACCCGTGATAAGTAGGTCAAGGATGCATTCTCTCAATGAACACAACCCACACACTCCTTAAGTGTCATCTAATCCTGGTAAAATATACCGAGCCGTCCACTGGAAAACTCATTCGCAGCTTCTGGTGCAACCGAGCGCCTGGACAGCGACCGAATCTCACCGTGGCCAGCACGGCTGTAAAACAGCGGGCGATAACTTCCTACTTCCCCTTTTGATTTCTGATGTGCCTGAAGAATCGGATGGTGAAAACTCGAAGTCAACTTCCTACTTCCTCCATGTTCTCCTATTTTATTCATCATACCCTTATGTTCGTTGCCACATTAGCAGTAGACTCGAAGTCAAATTAGACTATTCTTCTCTATAATTTCCCCTTCTGGAAGTAACGTGCTGGGCTCCAAAAATTCAGTTAATTTGAGGTAACATGTCAAGATGGAGCCCATAGTCCTCGGTGCTGAGAAATATCATTTACTCGATCGCGGTCATCTTTGGAATTTTTAGTTTTAATAATCGACAGTGGCAAAATTATTTTGGGATAAGTGCACTAGAAATCCTGAAACTTGTCACGAAATTGCTATTGAGTCCTTAAACTTTCAAAAGGTACAACCAAGTCCTAAAACTTGTCGCGAAAGTGCAATCGAGTCTTAAAATTTTAAAAAAGTGCAATCAATGAAAGGATTTGTTTGGACCAATTTGACAAGTTTTAGGACTTGATTGCTTTTTTTTGAAAGTTTAAGGACTCAATTGCACTTTCTTGACAAATTTTATGACTTGATTGCACTTTTTGAAAGTTTTAGGACTAAATTGCACTTTCGTGATAAATTTTAGGACTTCAAATGCCCTTGTCCGAATTATATTCATATCATACTCTTGCCGGCTCTCATAAATATATCGGCTTTTGATCAACTCTATCTAGAGTTAAAAGGGGATTCGATTAGAAAAGTTATAGAACTCCAGAGACTCGATTGGACAAATTAGTAAAAAATTACGATTAATTCCTAAAAAAAGCACAAATTTTAGGTGGAGGGATAATTCTGGTCCCAACTTTTTTTTTTCCTGTAAAAAAACACCAACTTTAGGTCGAGAGACGATTTTGGCCAGAAATTTTTTTTGTCTCGTAAAAATCACCAACTTTAGGTCCAGTGATGATTCTGGCCCAAACTTTTTTTTATCTTGTAAAAAAGCACCAACTTTCACTTAAATCCCAAATTTGGCCCCATTGACTTAGAACCATTGATTATCTAACTTAACTATTCCACCTTAGTAATAAATCTACGTGACTTGCTGACTGGATTTAAAGCAATATTTATTGTTTTATTCTCTAAATAACAATTTAAAGAATAACGGTGAAACTATTCATCTCCTTCACTTCACCAGCAAGTCAAAAATATCTCCAGATTGAATCTCTCTGGCTAGACGTAATCTGAAGCTGACCACTGCCTGTCGACAAACACCATGGACGAGATTCGCCAAGCTCACCACCATAACCTTTTTTCTCAAACAATGGTGACTTCAAACGGAAAGTCAACGGAGGGCCAGATTTTGGATCATGGTGAAAGTTGGTGATTTTTTATGAGACAAAAAAAATTGAAGCCAGAATTGTCACTTGACCTAAAGTTTATGCTTTTTTACGGGACAAAAAAAAGTTCGGGTCAGAATTGTCCATCAACCTAAAGTTGGTTCTTTTTTATGAGACAGAAAAAAGTTCGGGCCAGGATTGTCTCTTGACCTAAAATTTGTGTTTTATTTTTTGGAATTAGGCCTAAAAAATTAAGGATCTAATTGAAAAAAAAAACACAAATACCCAAGTTCAAATTTTAAAAAATAGGCTAAGCCTTTTTCTTTTTCTTTTCCCTTTTTCTTTTTCTTTTTCTTTTTTGATGCAGCCAAAAATAGAAGAACAAACAAGAGACATTTTCGTCCGACTCGTCTCGCTGCGAAAGCTCCGCCGCCGGGCCGACGATGGACCCGGACCCGAACCCGCCGAAGAGCTGGAGCATCCACACCCGGCAGGAGATCGTCGCCAGGTACGAGATCCTGGAGCGCGTCGGCGCCGGCGCTTACTCCGACGTCTACCGCGGCCGCCGCCTCTCCGACGGCCTCCCCGTCGCCCTCAAGGAGGTCCACGACTACCAGTCCGCCTTCCGCGAGATCGAGGCCCTCCAGATCCTCCGCGGCTCCCCCAGCGTCGTCCTCCTCCACGAGTACTTCTGGCGGGAGGACGAGGACGCCGTCCTCGTGCTCGAGTTCCTCCCGAGTGACCTCGCGGCCGTGATCGGGGACGCCAAGAGGGGGAGGGACGGCGGCGGGGGGCCGTTGCGGGCCGGCGAGGTCAAGCGGTGGATGCTGCAGGTCTTGGAAGGGGTCGATGCGTGCCACAGGAACTTGATTGTTCATAGGGACTTGAAGCCTGGGAATTTGCTTGTGTCGGAGGAGGGAGTGCTCAAGATCGCCGATTTCGGGCAGGTGACACTGCTTTGGATAGTGCAAAATTCTGCTGTTGTTATTTAGGGATTGCGGTTCAAATTTGGTTTTTTGAGAACAAAAATGAGCTTTGTTGGTGGAAATTTGTTTGTTTGGCCTGTTGGTGGATTGTGATTTGATTTTTGGCTGTTGGGGACGGGAGGTAGGAATTAGGAAGCGCAAGATGACTTATCCTATGTTGTTTTGCCTTATCGTATATATGTCAGAGTTCTTTGTCGGTTCAGTGCCTGTGTCGCTGTGGCGATGTCTTTGCCTCCGGCGAGCCGGGCATTTTCTGTTTCTCTAGATGGGTTTTGGAAAATTTGCACATTGTCTTGTTTGCTCCCCAGAATGAGTTTGAGAGGGACGAGCTCGAAGGAGGATTTGTCGACTGTGAGATTTGTCGATCACGAGTTTCGCTTGTGTCGTCAATTTAGTCCCTCGGCACAACTTATGGATGCGAGGCTGTGACAGGAGTGAGCTTAAATGTTGGGAAGCTGGTGATGTCGGTGCAATTTTAGTAGCCAACTTGTAGAAACAGACTTTGGTGTTGTTGGCCGCAATGGTGTGGTTATTGAAGTTAGGACATGAAAGAAGTCGGGGGAAATTCTGCTGCTTAGAAGAGCACTGCACGTAGGGCATGTTTGGAAATGATTTGATTTCTGCTGATTGAGTTTCTTATCAGTGCTGACCCATTGCAATTTGTTGTCATAAGTTAATTTCTTACTTGACTGACTTGGTTAGTAATGCCTTTGAATGCTACGATACTTCGCATGAGTTGCTCTTGACATATTAATGCAAATGTCAGTTATTCTGTACCTTTGGAGATGTCTGGTCTGAATTCATAGTTGTTTAACTGAAGAAAGGTCTTGTGTTTATTGTGGTTTTTATCACTTTATTCACTGATCAGGCAAGGATACTCCTGGATGATGGAAATGTTGCTCCAGACTATGAGCCTGAATCATTCGAAGAGAGATCATCGGAACAGGCCGATATCCTTCTGCAACCAGAAACTATGGAGGCAGATACTGCATGTCCAGAAGGTCACACTAGTCAAGAGCAGGGAGCTATCACTAGGGAGGCATACCTCAGAGAGGTGGACGAATTCAAGGCTAAAAACCCTAGGCGTGAAATCGACAAGGAAACGAGCATATTTGATGGCGATACTTCTTGTCTGGCCACATGCACGACCAGTGACATCGAAGATCCTTTTAAAGGTTCCTATGCTTATGAGGCCGAAGAGGCTGGAGAAGATGCACAAGGCTCTCTCACATCTTGTGTCGGCACGCGCTGGTTCAGGGCACCTGAACTGCTCTATGGGTCCACAGACTATGGGCTCGAGGTTGATCTCTGGTCACTGGGATGCATTTTTGCCGAGCTTTTGACTCTGGAACCCCTTTTCCCTGGGGTTTCCGATATCGACCAACTTAGTAGAATCTTCAATGTTTTGGGCAACCTGAGTGAGGAAGTCTGGCCAGGCTGTACGAAACTTCCCGATTATAAAACAATATCATTCTGCAAATTCGAAAACCCTGTCGGTTTGGAATCCTGCCTCCCCAACCGCTCAAGTGATGAAGTCTCTTTAGTTCGGCGACTTCTTTGTTACGATCCAGCTGCAAGAGCCACTGCCGTGGAACTTTTGCAAGACAAGTACTTTGTTGAAGAACCACTTCCAGTTCCGATTAGTGAGCTCCGGGTGCCTCAATCAAAGAATAGCCATGATGAGGACTCTCCAGGTGGTTGGTATGACTACAATGACATGGACTCGGATTCTGATTTTGAGGACTTTGGCCCTTTGAAGTTCACGCCTACAAGTACTGGTTTCTCCATACAGTTCCCTTAGTCATCACGAGAATGCGGGGATTGAATTTGCGAGTACTATGTAAAATTTTGCTGTTATTATCTACCGTAATGCTGTAAGGCGGTTGAAATTCTAGAGGTAAATTTTGTCAACGTTCATATGCTTGCCGTTCTAAAGGAGGGGGACATGTCTGTAAAAGACCATAAGAGCGTTATATTCCTGGTGTCATTTTTTCCTGTAAATTTCCTTCACCATAGAATCAAATTGCCATCGACTTGTCATCTCCTATGGTTCTAGTGTCCAAGTTTCATGTGCAGGGAAGCTGGGGATGCACCACTTCCTCCCAGTACTGTCGGTATCGATTGATGAAGTGTTTCTAAAAGCTTTTATTTCTGCAGCTTAGTTTTGGATTAAGGGTTTCAGCCCCATATATTGTAAACAGAAGAGTATGTCTGAGAAAGCATCTGTTGCGAAGGAACTGAGCTTGAGATAGTTTTTTTTCGAAACAATAACAAATATGCCGGCAAATCCTTTGTGAACACAAGCTGAGCAAACACACCACATATGAATTGATTAGATATAAAACAAGTTGCACAGGAAGGACTTGCTCAGCCGGACCTCAAGCCAGACTGATTAGTATGCACTCTGCGAGTGTATAATATGTGTTTATCAAGGGACTCTCTCTCTCTCTCTCTCTCTCTCTCTCTCTCTAATATCTGTACTATTGGATTATCAATCACCTATCCCAAGGTAAATGGCGAAGCAGGGTGCGTCTTCTTTGGAGTTTGAGAAAATGAGTTAGGAGGAAAGTATTGAGGATTCTCCTGTAGCATATCTATATCTGAGAAAGGAGTGCAATCTCAATTTCCTGAAGTGACTTTCCTTTAGTTTCCATAACGTTCCTTTTCACAAAAATCACTGCCAGCAAGCAAAATGCTGCAAAGATTGAATACAGCAGAGAAGGTCCGAGTAGCTCCAGCAAACGCAGGAAGAGCAGGCCTACGAAGAAGTTTATCACCTGAAGAACAAAACATAAAGACAAGGCAAATGAATAAACAGGATTGTTAAGTTCCTCTGTCGTATCGAATTTTAAAATCATGCAGATTTCTAGTGTCTTGATTTGTTCAAGAACAGGTGACGTAACTGCATCTTGACGAAAACAAAGAAGTAAATAAACATGGGTACATTACCCAATGAACAGACATGCAGACTGCCATGGCTTTAGCTCTGATCCTGCTGGGGAAAATCTCTGGCAGGAGGAGACATGGAACTGGACCAGCTCCTAGGGCAAATGTTAGGACAAACCTGCACAATTACACAATAGGTTATCAACAACTATCAATGGAACCACTTGACAAAAATTATCAATGGGATTTCAGATAAAATTCGAAATCACTCATGCACAGTTGGGTCATCTGGTAGGGTCAATATTAACATTAAAAGGTCACACTTATTTTTTTGATAAATCTTACGGTCTTCGAATTTCAATGAGCTAATTATCATTCTTCTATAGAATCACTACTCTTTTCACAAGAAGCCATCTACAGGAAAGTACATAAGCAATCCAACCGCCTTAGGTATCTCCCAGCCATTGTTGTATCGGATTGATCCTGAAAGCTCATATAAATTCATTAATATGTCTATAAGATCTTTCCAGATAACAGGAATCCCATGCAAGGACAAGAGTAAGACGACATGTTTTATGTCCTCCCAAGACCTGCAACGAGATAACCAAAGTGCACAGGGATGCCCTCATACACAATAAACTAATACATGGAAGCCACACACACACACACACACACACATATCCAAATGATAAAAGAGAACTCACATCAGCATGCCTCCCACAGATAAATAAAGAGCCCCAGAGCCTTTTAAATAAGAACTTGCAGAAGCAACTTGAAGAAGCATTGACATTGCCTGCATATTGAACAAGTACACTATCAATTTTATGACTACTGCTTAACAATGCAAAAGTTCTTGAAGTGTTCCTTCTTCAATTGGACATATGAATAATTAAGATAATTATTTTTCCACCTTGACTTTCATTGCCAAACCTGGAGTACTCTTTATCTCATGTTTAGTACTAATACTACAATTGGACAGGCTGACTAGCTAATGCAGCTTTTTTTGTTTATCCCATTGTTTCCCTTATATGCCATATCAACACCCTAATAATGACTTCAACAATCAAGAGGAAGTCTTAGGAGAGTATTAACAAATTACCATGCCAAAAAAGCTCCAAAGGAGGAGTACCCTCCTTCCCAGTTTATCCATCAATGCCATTGCAACAATAGACCCTGTATGAACGAGAATCCACCAGTTAAGGGATAAAGTTTTTCTTCCACTAATTGAATACCTAGAAGCAGTGTCATACCAGATAAATTTACCACCCCTATGAAGACGTTTGCAAGACCTGATGGCACACCCGCACTTCTAAAGACGGCAGAAGAAAAATAAAATACAGCATTTATTCCTGAGAGCTGTTGCAGAGCAAACAGTGCTGAGCCAATAAATACGACTGCAGAAAGCATATAATAATGAAGCACATCAGAGAGAGAGAGAGAGACCAATGACATCAGTATCGAAACTTGCAAAGAAGAGGAGTGGATTTCAAGAGAAGCGCTAGCACACACCACAAAGTACTAATTCCTACCTCTAAAATGACGGCCATATAGCAACTCTGAGATTGTTATGCTATCAGAGTCGTCCCCTCTGTCCGATTTGGACAACTCAGCAACTGCAGACTTGACATGTGATGCTCCTAGAAGTCGTTCGAACTCAGCTTCTGCTTCAGCGATTCTTCCTCTCTGTATTGTGTCAATCATGGGCAGTAAGTTAAGAACATAAGACCTAAAAATAGATCTGAGTGCATTTACTAAAGTTTGATCAGCCTTGTCGTTTAGCAAGGGTCACTACTTTGTCCAAATGAGAAGCCATAAACCCTTAAACCAAAATAACAGAAACCTGTTCGACCATTTACAGGAATCTGATGATAATCATATAATTGAGCGGCATTAAGTGTTAAGCTAGTTGGTTCAGGAAACCTAGCGACATCATGCACGCACAGCACACGCAGAGAGAGAGAGAGAGAGAGAGAGAGAGAGAGAGAGAGAGAGAGAGAGAGAGAGAGAGAGAGATTTCCTTAAGTCTATTTTAGAGAACATCTAAATAGAGAGATGAATTAATTATATTTTCTTTTGTTGGATCTGTCGGGAATGACAGGGAAATTTTCCTAAAGTAAGCTGTTTTTGGTGAAAAATCTGTGTGTCTGTGTGTCTGCTATTGATAACAGAACAAAGAGACATGCTAACAGCAGAAAACAGCAAATAATTTATGAGAGCAAACCTTATATAACCAGTGTGGGCTCTCTGCACAAAAGCTCATGGAGAGACAAAGTATTGTGGCTGGAATTATAGATACCAAGAAGCAAACACGCCACCTGAACAAAGAATTTAGAGCATTATTAACATAATTTTGGCCACTAAATGCTCCATGGGTGATCATGGGTATTGGAGAGGAATTGGCCCAAGAAGTGCAGGTTTCAACTACTCACACCCAGGCCTTACCCAATCTCACCCAGAGTGCATAGTCGAAGCAGCACACACCCTGTGAGAGGTTACGAAGACTTGTGCAGTCTAAATTTTGTCCAGATGGAAAAGAAGAAGAAGTACAGCCGGTAGATAAGACAGAATGGAGAAACATAAGCAGCACACGGGCATTTGAGGAATACAAACTGAATTAAGTTAACACATTCTCACCAGCCAGCAATTTCCTTCACAGGGATTCCAACCAAAAGAGATCCCATTAGCCCAAGACATGTAGCAATTTGAATAAAGCTTCCATAAGTACCCCTCACAAAAGCAGGAGAAATCTGATTTTGTAGGAAATCGAAATAGGATTAGACATAACATGATTTTTCTATTTTAAAATTTAAGCATGCTACCATAAAACTCTTAAAAGGAACACTGTACCTCTGTCACGTAAAGAGCTGCAACAGGAGGACCCAAACCCATTCCTGTCCCAACCAGTAACCTCCCAAGCAGCATACCCATGAGAGTTTTGCTCTTCGCACTGCAAATTAGAGGTTGTCCTTCTATTACACCCAAAGGAATATATTTCTCTTTTAATTTCATTACTATATCAGATGTAGGGCCCACACATATAGAAAATGTGCACAGCGCATCCTAACAACCAAAAAAGTCATAAACTTTGTGAGTGCATCAACAGTCTATTAATTCAGACTGTCGAAAACTTGTCGCTGCATATATTCCATTCGTCTGGATTTAAATATCGGAAGGATCGGTAATACGATCAGCTTGACATCTAAAAGGTAATTATATGGTCAAAGTCAAGCAGGGTGAATTCTGAGCTTTTGACCGATATCTACATGAGTAAATAGCATCAACAGTCTATTAATTCAGACTGTCGAAAACTTGTCGCTGCATATATTCCATTCGTCTGGATTTAAATATCGGAAGGATCAGTAATACGATCAGCTTGACATCTAAAGGGTAATTATATGGTCAAAGTCAAGCAGGGTGAATTCTGAGCTTTTGACCGATATCTACATGAGTAAATACATTTGCCTCTTAAGGAAATAGCAAAAGACAGAAAGTATGGGATTAAAAAGTTGAAACTTAATAAAAAAGAAAGAAAGGTAAGCCCTCTTAATTGGGGTGTGAAAATCACCAAATAGAGCTCGTTTCTCGTATCAAATTTGGGGAAATAACCATTTCAAGGAATGCTGACACTACCTCACAAAAGCACCAAGAATCATGGGCAAGGCACACAACTGGAAAGCCCTACGGCGCCCCAGCCCATCTGCAATCCAACCGCTGAAGAGAGATCCAACAAAAGCACCAGCAAGGCATGTACTCACCACCAAACCTTCAATTAGCACAAGTCAATATTTTCCATTATCCAACTGAAGGAAAATCGGCACGAAAAAAAAAATGGAGGAGGAAAACAGAGTAAATTACTGAGTCCCACCTTCAGCGAGAGTATCTCCACTGAAACCCAAATCTGAAGAGATGCTCTCAAGGGGTTCGTTGACTACCCTGTGTGGTTAAGATATTGCAAAGAATGTCATTATATCTTAAATACATATTTAAATTATACAAGCTGAAACAGAAGCTACGATCGAAATTCGAAACTAAAGAACAAACCCGAGATGGTATCCGAATAAAAACGAAGATATGGTAGCCACCAGCACATATGGCAATGAAAGCCTCCACGGAGGATTCGAACTTTCTTCATCTACACTGCTCTGCAAAAGAGCTAAACAGACAAAACAATCAAGTTGCCACATAGTACCAAACAATTGTGGACATTAATACAAATTTTTCACTAAAAGGAGAATGGACCAGACATTCCACTCATAACAGTGGCATGTACCTGTTGCCACATGTGCAAAAGTTTTCAATAGCCACTTATCGTTAGTGTTTCTCAATTTACCAACTAAAGCATCTAGATCAGCAATTTATGCATTGGCTTCAGTGCATGTTAACAATTCGAAAATAACATTAAATCTGGACATTTCTGGCTTTATATCAACACTTTCAAGATCGATTTGAATGCGGAGACTAATTAATCAGGAAGAAGCCACTTTCTTGTGTTTGTGCTTTGATTAGACTGGTGATTGAAAGAAAATACAATTCCAGACTGCAAAAAGAAAGTTACCGGAATCATCTTCCATGTCCAAGTGATTTGGATTTTCTTTTGACGGTATACGCTGGTATATCGACAAAGGTTCACGTTGGTGGCTCCACATGCCAGTTTGCAGCCAGTCTAGATTGCTTCACACTCCGTGGCACTTACGGCCCTCACCTGTCAAAATTAAAAACCTGTAAGTTGAAGCAATCTAGGTGGTATTATTGCAGGATCACATTGACAGCCGAGGATAACCGGGGTGTCTTGTAATTGCTGCTACTGACATTTAACCTATAAGCTCGGGACGTTTTCTTTCTTCTTAGATTGCAAGAGATAGGGTCCTCTCAGCATTCTAGCGGAACTAAAAGACTAAAAGTCCTAACAGATACTGAAAACCCAGTAGCTCGAATCTTGCAATTCGGGTACGAGGTTACGCTTCTCAAGCTTCATAAAATGCACGAACCTAAGTTGGCCATGATCAGCCACTGGCCTGCACACGGAACCGAGCAAAAGATATTCAAGCAAAGCCACGTGTCGGACCACATGAACGAACGCGCATGATAACTCATTCACACTGAAAATAAGGGGGCGCGAAAAAGGGCTACGACTCGTCTACTTTCCTCGAATCCCACTTTCCACGAGCACGAGCAAAGCAACGGCAGAGCAAGAGAGAACGCTAATGAGCTCAACGTGAACACCGTAAGCACGAAGCTGACAAAGCCGATCTCCGAACCCCAAAAAGGGGTCAAGATCGACGCCGATCGAAACCACGAGGCTCGAAGGCGATCGTCATCGTCGTCGTCGTCGTCATCATCACCAAGCTTCGGAATCGGATGCGGTCATCATTACCTGATGATATCGTCTCGATCGTCGCCCGATGATCGCCCGGAGGTGGATCGAAGGAAAAGGGAAGAGGAAAGCGAAGCTTCCACAAATAGAGAGAGGGAAGGGAGGGAGAGAGATGCAGGCGAAGTGTCACTGTTGCGCTCCTACTCGAGAGCCGATCCGCAACACCACGAAATCAAGCCGGAAACGGAAGTCGCAGGTCGTTCCTACCTACAATAATCAAGCCGAAAACAGACGCAGAAGAGAGAGAGAGAGGGAGAGAGAGAGTGAGGGTTCACGAAGCGACCTGCGGGAACCATGAAAAGTAGCGATGGTGAAGGAAAAGAAGGAGCATGCACGGTTGTCGAAACGATGGCCGATTATTAATTTTATGTTTATTATCTCTTGTGTTTTCGTAGGAAGGAATCTGAGTGTCGTCGTCCGAGGAACAAAAATCGGGTGGGCAGCGACCCCTGCCTTGCCGAGGCCGCCGAGAGCATCGTTTCGTCCCGAGCCACGTGTCGTTCTCCTAGAGGCTCATGGCCCGAGAAAAAGTCGCGCTGTCTTGGCTTGTGTAAGACATAATCAACTTTGGTCTCGACATTTCTCCAAATTTTTAATTTATCTAAGGCCGCCTCTAAACTGTAACCCGACATGCATTATGAAAATTAACCATACGAAAAACCCTATCATTTTCATTTCTTTTTACTTTTTCATATCTCTTATCCATTTCTGATATCGAATCCATCCTTCTCCTTTTCTTTTTCCGCATCTTCAATTCGCTTCTTACATCAAAATTCAGCGTCGAAAGAATTGAAGTTACACGAATCATGTTGCGATGAGACGGTCTAAGCTTCGTCAATCGCACGTAGTGGTTCACTAAGGCGAATGATATTCCAATATAAGATCTCCTAGCATCATATTCGAGGCTTCTTCCTCAACTTGGACTTGGGTCGTAGCTATCAAATCGGGCTTTTTTTTTACTGAGGTTCACCAGTCAGTGTGCATGGTATAAAAAATCTCTATATTTCATATTCTATCTTTAGATTATAAAATCCAGACGATAGAAAACAGATGTTTAAAAATAAAATAAACGCACATGGAATTTAGTTATTTTTTATTTTCCATTGTTGGCCCTCCCCCCCAAGAGAAAAAAAAAAGAAAAAGAAAATTCCTTCCTCCGTCTAGGGTTAAGGTACCGCGAACCCGCTGGCGGAGACCTCCAATGTGAACAGAGAGCGCGCAGGAAGACAGCGGAGCAGCGGAGGCAAATGGGCTCGAGGGACAAGGACCAGCCGCCTTACCGCCACCAGCCCCTCCTCAGCAGCCTCGTCGTCCGCCCCTCCACCAGCAGCGACGGCGGCGGCGTTGGAGTCGGCGCCGGAGGGGGGGACGGCGTCGCCGGCGGCCGCGCCGCCGGGAGCGACTACGAGTCCGGCGACGACCGGCGCGATCCCCTCCCGCCTTATCGCTCGGATCGATACTCCGACGACGCCGGTACATTCTCCCTGCTCGCATCCGATAGCCTCTTCTTCCTCCTCGGTTGCTGTAGAACGGTTAACGATTGACGAGCGCGATTGATTCGCCGTTTTCGTCGCGCCTTCATTCCCGTGAAGTGAAATCGAATGGATACTGTTTCTGGTTTAGGGGCTCGCGAATGATTCTTGATGTGAAATGTTGACGCGAGCGACATCGCAATCCTTTAGAATAAGTATCCCGATGTTTCGTTATTTAGCTGTCGTGATTCGACATGCTTAGCATGGCTCGCTTAGATCTCTAATTGCGTTGTTGTATGAAACCTGCGTATGAACTTTTAACTTTGTTTCTTCAGATGAAAAAGAAAATTTAGCTGGTTGTGTTTTCGGCGATACGTCGAGTTGCTGCCAAATGTTTGGTATAGAGTTAGGAGTGCTTGAGCTTTATACAATCAGGATGCAACTTGCTAAGGTAGAGCTTAGATTGATTCGACCGCTTGCTTTGTTTTTGATAATTGAAGTTCGTTGTGTGTGAAACTCGCTGAGAGTTGATATCTGTATGGCTTGAGTCGAAGAGTTGCTAGCTGTATCATTTGCAATTCCGTCTCTTCTCGACCATTGTGGCCGAAGATGTCGTGTGCACTGGAAACCTCCGACCCGAGTGCCCCGCACTCGGAGTGGCTTATTATTTTCCTTACTCACCTGAGAATTGCGTCACAGTTAGTGCTGTAATGTGCACGCATGTGAGGTGTGACCTTTGTGAAGATGGGAAAAAAAATCGAGGTTGTATGGAATTTGAAGTTTTTTTTTCTCAACTTTCTTGCTACAAGCTAAAATGTGATTAGAGTTTAATCTCCATAAATCGGAATAGTCAATCTATTACCATGCTTTATCTGCTCTCCTATGGATTATACTGTCTTCTTCCTTTTTATATGAGGATGATTGATGATGTTCTCACAGTCAACTTTTGAGTCCGAAAGATGCTACTAGCTGTATGTTACATCTTTTGCCATATTTCAATGTTGTCTTAAGATTTGCATTGTGTGCAAAGTCACAGTGATAAAAAGCTTGAAAGTCACTATTGTTTGCTGCCATGAAGAGCTTGCGCTAGTTCACGAAGCCGTGCTCCACCTTTTTTTAGTTGAACATTCATGTGTAACATGTGGTTTTAATAGATTTGTTAGTCTGAAGCGTTGAATAAACTCTGCTGTTGTCTGTCACAGCTTTGAATGTGCCTGCAAGAACTTTGGTCTTGATGAAGGCATTCCGGTGTGAGTTGGTTTTAAAAAGTCAGGGTTTTGGATTTTTGATGGTTAGTTATGTCTTTGGGTAACAAAAGGTTGGGATGGTTTGTGGCTGGTGAAAGTACTGGTTTTAGTAGAGTTATATATTGTGACGAAGGCTGCTTTTAGGTAATATTTCGTGAAATTTATGGGATAAGAAAAGTGGCAGCAGTTTCAGTTCCGATATGAGGTTATCAGTTGGGATGTACACATGATGATTTGCTCGGCATCTGAACTTGGAATGTACTTACTACTATCATTGTGGTTAAAGTTCCTTGTACGTCATCTTATTATCAGTCTTTGGGTACACATACTGACTGGAGGGCTGTTTACCGTGCCTGGAGTTGGTTGATCAGGTTTCTACTCCCTTTTGTCAGAGACAGTTTGGTCACTTTCCATGTCATGAATTTGATGAAGGGGGTTCATGTGTTTTCCTGCATGAGGGATTGTTACATCTCAAAATGGTGTAGTTGGAAACTTGGTCCAGTATTTGGAGGTGGCTATATGGAATCTGATTCGACAATGGTGAATACCATTCAAGTTGAAATGTGGCATAGCTTGTTTGGTTGAACGATCTGTTAAGATTCTTTTTGTCCTTTTGGCGGGTGCTGGGTCAGTCAAATGGCCTTTGTTGCTTCAATTATTACTCAGCAAAATGCTGGAGGATGGGGAACATTGTCTCATGTCATTTGCAATGTCTTTGAAATGCTTTGTTGCCAATGAGGTTGGCAAGTGGTGAATTGGTAATGATTTTGGAGAAGACTACTCCTTACAAGAACTTTTGCCCAGGATACCTTTTTAAAAGTCATGGAGAGGGACATTAATGGAATTCATAAAGAAAAAGGGGTGACAATGGTATTTGCTCCAAAATTTTCTGATGGGAATGAATTGCATCATGCTCTAAGTTAACCGGAAACGTGGATTAAGCAGAAAATATATTTCATTGCTGTTTGGGATTTTTGTCGAATTTGTTGCACTCAATGGATGAGTTTTGACTGGAAGGGACTGGGTTCATACCAGTTGGTCTAGTTCGATGTAATGCCTGAGTAGCAGATTGTCATCTTGTGGTTCTTTCATGGGTTTACATCTGCTGCTCGTCGCAGGTGCGGTTCATCAGAAGGTTCTGGGGGGGTTTTGTTTGGATGATATCTTTGATTGGGTTGGTTTATTTTAGTCATGCTTTTTATTTTTCTTGTAGTCTGCGGATGTGGATGCTGATACGTTCTTTGTTGTGGCTTGATGCTGTGATTATGTTAATGTTGCATTAATGGTTTGGGAGGTCTCTCATCCGCTTAGGGAAATATTAATTCACGGATGTAGTGGTTTGCATGGTAGATTTGAGGTACTTGAATCTAGGAAACTGTGGAATGTGTTTGGATCCTGAAGACTATAAGGGGCTTCCCTAATTGGTAAGAGCAAGTGATGTTGCTTGGATCGCATCTTCTGTGGTCAGTTTGTGTGTTACAGCGGGTGAAGTTCTTGAAAAGTAATGACTACACCATCAATTGTAGATTCCATGCCCTGTCTCCCTTTTATCTGATTTTCATGATACGCGACCGGAGGAGCTGTCTTCACGGCCGATAGCAGTTTTCAAAAGTCAGTTCAGTTATTGGTTGACACTTGGCACTTCTGGCTTGTTTTTTCCAGGATTTAGAATTCATGCAGGTTCTGTATCCCCTGCTCGTCATAGGAATGCAGAACGTCGTTATAGTCCAGATCTTGATCGTCCGCCGCGTGGCCGTGAATTTGTCAGCAGGAGGGAGCCTGGTAGGTTCCAAGACTCTCCTCCCCATTATGGCAGAGGAAGGGGCGGTGGTAGGCCCTATGGCAGGGGTTTTGATGGTCCTGGATTGGGTCCTCGGCCATTCAGAGGTGAAGCTGTAGCTAGAAACAATCCTAATGTGCGACCAAGGGAAGGGGATTGGTACTGTGCAGATCCTTCGTAAGTCATGATACTAAATCTTTAGAATAGATCTATGTTATTGTCCTTAAGGTTACTTACTTACTTAAAAAGGATTGTGAGGCAATATTTAGACATTTTCTTTATGATTTGTATTTGGAGAAGACTATCTTTGCAATCAATTTCAATTTTTTACAATTACCCGCTGTTGATTACAGGACTCAATTTCTTATTCCAAAAAGGTGTGATGCACTATGATCCTGAGAGTTTAATCTGATTTTGATCATCATATGATAGCTTATGTGCATGACACACTGGAGGAGAATTCCTGGCTAGCTGTCCCCATTACACCTCTCCAGCAAGCAATTTCCTATTTACTTTATGAGCTTTGCTGCTCTTATCTTATGCTTGATATTACCAATCTGACTATCCATTGTATCTAACATCCGATCATCTTTTATTCTCTTAGATGTGGCAATCTGAATTTTGCAAGGCGAGATCACTGTAACAACTGCAACAGACCTCGCTCTGGACACAGGGGTAGCCCTCCTAGAAGGGGCTTCCTGGCCCCACCACCTCCATATGCTGCTTCGAGGCGTTTTCCTGGGCCTCCATCACAGCGCTCACCTCCTAGGTCCATGAATGGGTACAGGTCTCCGCCTCGTTCATGGGCTCGGGATGGGCCTCGAGATTTTGGCCCCAGTGGTCTACCCCCTCCCAGGCATGAAGTTGGGTTCTCCGATGACTACATGCGAAGGGAACATGTGGACTATCCGGAAGATGATTATAGGGGAAGGAGCAGGTTTGACAGACCAATGCCGACTGACTGGGCCCCCCGAGACCGTGGAAGGGATAGCTTTGTAAGTGAAGGAAAAAGCTTTGACAGGCGACCACTATCACCACCTCTGCACCCACCGCCAATTCCTGCAAGTCATGACCGATGGGCACGTGACATCAGGGAGAGAAGCCGTTCGCCTTTTAGGGGTGCCCTCCCACCAAAAGATTATCGTCGGGATTTCTACATGGAGAGGGGACGAGATGACCGCCATGGCCTGGGTAGAGAGAGGATTGGCGATCCTTACTAGCTGAGACACGATTTGCTGCTATGAGTCTGATTTTTGCAGGCTTGGAGGTAATTGTGTAAAGGATGTTCAAGGCTGTAGGGATGGTGGAGCTAGAGTTGTACTGTTTGCGATGGAGCATTTATGGTTTCATAGTGCCTGCCTGTGTGTATGAGTTTAGGTCAAAACTTATACAATTGTTTGTGTGGTCTGCTTTGCTGTGACTGGTTATTCAAATGGAACTTGCGGAGACTTTTCTCTCCAGCGGCAGGTTACTTGGAGATGCTTCATGGCTTTTTATCAGGTGAATGCTCCTATCCATGAAGGTCGGAGTCCCGTCTTTACAATGCCTCTCGACCGTTTGAAATGACGGCGAAAAATTCGAGCAATCAAGTTAAAGCAGCTTTGCGTCGGAGAGTTAACGTGAACATTTTGAATTGCGTTTTCTCTCGGTGATTGGATACAATTTATCCCGGAACGGAATTGCGATTCCATCTCCCCTTCCCATCTCTGTTGTTTGTTTGCTCGTCCTTCCTTTTCATAGAAGGAATGAGCATTTTGGGCACACGGAGTTGGAAAATTGCTCATCCCTTTGTAACAGAGGCATCGAGTTAGAATTCGAGTGGTATTGCCAAAAACATGAGATTTGTCTTACTCCTTCGATGACTGGACGGATAGAGCTGGAGTCTTCGCACTACTTTCTCGATTGTAATTTGGTTAATCAAATTGAATCCGAAAAGGTCTTTTTGAGGCGAACTACTTTTTTCTTCGCCCGATATTCCTAATGTCGAAGCAAAATCTCATAGCCTAAGCTTCTATTATGAAAGCTTGGCGATGAATGGATAATCGTCTGGATATAATTTCATAAGTGAGCTTCGACACGAGCATAACAAATGACGACCCATTACCTCACGCGTCTATATTTGAGCCATTGATATACTTACCGCTCGAGAAACACCACTGGGACGGCACATCTGTGGCGTAAATGTTCACAAAATCTCATGAAATCACCGAGCTATGATCTTCACAAATGTATCCCTTGCGTGCGGAGAACATGTTTCGACGTGAAATCTGATTCTAGTATACAGCGGGACATAGCTCAGGGTAAATCGACACCCATTTAACATCATTAGTGGCTAATCTCAGATATCGAGTCTGCATGATGGGAGTGATACGAGATGAGATCCGCTTTCATGGGGGTCATTTCGTGATTTTTGCTATCTCAAGGGGCCAGTTTTCGAATTTAACTCTCGTATCGGGTGCTGGCCCGTAGTACTGAAGTTTTCACCCCCGGTCAACAATATCTGAGGCATTTCCACATTTAGCGCCAATTTATTTTTTCGTTATTTATTTGTTTTTTTTTTTTCCGGTTTCACTCTTTTTAACTGGACCGGAGGCGCACGAACCGAAAGGCTCGGCCAATGAGGTCCCACCACGTGGGGGCGATCCGAGCTCCAGCCAACGAATCTCGAGGGTTTTCGATCATCGCTCTCAATTCAGCGCCCCGGGCGGGGGGCGGGGGAAGGGGATCGCACGGTCCACGACCGAAGCCTGCGTACCCTTCTACGAATTCCGACCGATCCCGGTCCCCACGGTTTCCTCCGTCGGATGAGTCCGTGACGCGCATCGGGCCGTCCAATAATCGCGAAATTGGAAGTTCAAAACCTCCGGAGAGAGAGAGGAAGGGGAAGGAGACACGAAGAAGAAGAAGAACGCCGAGGTATTTATGAGTACAGAGCATCAGACCAATTCTTCTTACAGGTAACAACACATCTGAAATGCAGGACATTGCATCCTTTTCTGATGTAATTTGGTTCATACGAGGACAATGGCTAGAATCGCTATTTCTCTTCTCTAGTCATTGATATTTCCTACATAATTTACACGGGAAGCACTCTATTGCGAGGTATGTTCAGAGTTGTTGCGTTACCACACGGGCGCGACTTTTCGCTCTTCTAAAAGAATGCTCTCTCCCCACTCAGATTCTTGCATATTCTTAAGATGTACCAACGAGAGAAGTTCACTTTTTGTCGATCCTTTGTCTCGGAGAACATGAGGATGACGAAGCGGAGAACCGGCCTGATCTCTTGTTCTCGGCCAGGTCCTTGCAAGCGGACTTCTGGACCTCTTCCTTCAGTTCCATGAAACGCATCTTTTTACTTGTCTTCTCTTCAGCTATGCCCTCTTCAGGGAAGAAATCGCCGGGGAACCCCGTCCAGAAAGTTGTCGAGAACATCCGAGCAATGAGGGAAATAGCGGCGACCATTGAAGCCAATGCTCAAAGGGATCAAAGTCATTCATGTACAGTCAGGAATATCCGATATACAAGCTTTAACGAGTATGAATCCCAGAACAAGTAATAAGCTCTTGAGGGCAAAAAAAGGGAATTGACGAAATTTCATTATACGAAGAAAGTTGTCTTTCCGGAAATGCTGAAAGGCCATGGCAAGTGAGCTTGTCTTGGGCTTTCAGCCTTGTCAAGAGCAGGCCGAAGGAGTTCCAAGAAAACCCGTCATCCATCCCAAATTTGCCCTAAGGGCCCTTGCAGGCCCAAAGCCCGTTTGGGAGTCTGAACCGTAGTATATATATCAGGGTTTCGTTAGGGTTTCGATTTCAGAACAGACCACCAGGGGCAATAACAGGGCACGAAAACATGGCGTCCGGCAAGCGGCCCCCCTTCAGCTGCCTCTCCGAATCGCCTCCCCACAGCCACGGCGGTGGCGGAGATGGCATCACCGGTGGCCGAGCTGCTGGGAGCGGCTCCGGTGAAGTCCGTGGCGATCGTCTCAATCGCTCAGACCAAATCGCTCGCCGCGGTACTTTTCCTTGTTCATCCAATCCCTTTGGTTGCTTTAGAATGGTTAATAATTATCAAGCACGATTGGTTCGATTTTTTTTCCGACCTTAGTTTCTGTAAATGTGAAATTGAATCGGTACCGTTCGGTCCAGATCTTTACCGTGTGGTGCCTGGCCTTGGATTTGGCTTCAAGAAGGAGAAATCTGCCGATTGTCATGATGGATGTGTTCCTAAAGAAGTGCATGAACGCCTTTTGTAAGTCACGATGCAATCTTCAGATTAGCTTGACGTTATCTTCATAACGTCACCCGAGCCGATCGCCACGGACTTCACCCGAGCCGCTCCCAGCAGCTCGGCCACCGGTGATGCCACCTCCGCCACCGCCGTGGCTGTCGGGAGGCGATTCGGAGAGGCGGCTGAAGCAGGGCCGCTTCCCGGACGCCATTCTTTCTAGGCGAGCCATTTGATTCGCTTGAAGAAAACCAGCCAGCAAAAACAAAATTAAAAAAGGAAAAAAAAGGGAAACGGAGAGATGGAAATGGAAATGGAAATGAAAGTTGGCCAATTTTACACCGTGAAGATGGAGATCCGTGGTCAAAAGGCCTTAGAATCAGCACAGTATAAGTGGACACTAGCAGAGCACAAGTCTTGATGAGAGCCAAAATAGGAACAAAATGCACGATTGATCAGGATTAGCAAACTGCTGAATGCCCATGACTCTTGATTGAAACCCCCTCCCAGAAAATTGTTTGATCACTAGCATTCATAAAAGTTACTCCAAATCTCTGTAAAGATCACCTGAGGGAGAGAGAGATACGAAAACGCCGAACACAGAACACATGGGGTGGTGGCCACCGGATATCCCGACCACCACGACAGATGGCTGAGACCGCCCGTCATGGTGGTACCCAAACTGCATTCCAGGTACGTTTCTGTCCCTCCACCTATTGACCGCGGCGACGGAACATCGCCTTTCACAAGTGGCACTAGTAGATCTCGAAAAAAACCTCACCTCTGATACGTACATGTATGAATAAATGGAGACGTACTGCTAATGTCACTATAGAAAGCGACTTTTTTTATTTAGTGACGCTGGACAAAATAAAGGATCTTTGTAATTTTTCAAGTTTCACCATCTTTGCATGCTCAGGATTAATTGCGCTCCCAGCTACCATGCAAAAACAGCATGAAGTTCTCTCTCCTCAAGAAAAAGTTGGCAGTTTTCAAGTTCATTCCAATCTAGATATGCTAAGCCTGAAACTACACATCTATCTTTTTCACGGTTATCTTGATAAAAACCATTCTTACTCCAGGTTCTTAACAGAATCCATCTCTCTCAACAGATAACAGAAAACGTCTGCATAAATAGAGATCAAGACGAGGGAAAGAAAGTTCAAGAATAGTCACAGGAAAAGACAGAGGAAGGAATGGATAACTTGGTCGCAACTTAGGACTGTTGCTAGCCACCGCTTCACCTCTGAATGGCTGTGAACTCGATCCAAGATCATCGTAACCATCGCCATAGGGCCTACCACCGCCCTTTCCCATACCAGAATGGGAATAAAAGTTTCTTGGAACCTATCAGCAGGCTCCCTCCCGCCAGATTTTGCGGCCCCAGTGACTTGACATTGGACTGCCATATATCAGTTCGTGCTGTTCTGCTTTTGCTACGATCTGCTAGACAAAGATATGGGAAAACAAGCCAGAAATTTCTAGAGGATTGTAACTCTATTAAAACCACTACTTCCATCAGGCAGACCATTTCAAACTTTTGTCACCCAAAGACATGATTAAGCATAAAAAATCTAAAACCCTGACTTTTCAAAATCAACTCACACCGGAATGTTTTCATCAAGACCAAAGTTCTTGCAGGCAAATTCAAAGCTGTGACGGACGGCATAGCCTATTTAGCGCTTCAGATTAAAAATCTATTTAAAACCACACGAGAATAACGCAAATCTCAGACGACATTGAAATATGGCAAAAACATCTTGACATGCAGCTAGTAGCATAATTCGGAGACAAAAATTGACCTCATTAGGTAAAAAGGAAGAATACAAATGGTCTATGGAGAGTAGACAGATGTTGCTCGTATCAACACTTTACATAAGAATTATTGGTGAGCCTGAAACAGCATCTATTCGATTTCACATGTACAGAAATTATGGTGCAATAGGCAACCGAACAAAACAAGCCTATCGCATGAAGAAGGGAAAAGCACCATAATTTCTGTACATGTGAAATTGAATAGATACTGTTTCAGGTTTTAGGGCATCGCGAATAATTCTTATGTAAAGTGTTGATGCGAGCAACATCTGTCTACTCTCCATAGACCGTCTGTGTTCTTCCTTTTTATCTAATGAGGTCATTTTTGTCTTCGAATTATGCTACTAGCTACATGCCATGATGTTTTTGCCATATTTCAATGTCGTATGAGATTTGCGTTATTCTCGTGTGGTTTTGAATAGATTTTTAATCTGAAGCACTAAATAAGCTATGCCGTCCGTCACAGCTTTGAATTTGCCTGCAAGAACTTTGTTCTTGATGAAAACATTCCGGTGTGAGTTGGTTTTGAAAAGTCAGGATTTTGGATTTTTTATGCTTAATCATGTCTTTGGGTGACAAAAGTTTGAAATGGCCTGCTTAATGGAAGTAGTGGTTTTAATAGAGTTACGATCCTCCAGAAATTTCTGGCTTGTTTTTCCATATCTTTCTCTAGCAGATCGTAGCAAAGGAGAACAGCACAAACTGCTATATGACAGTCCATTGTCATATCATTGGGGCCGCAAATCTGGCGGCGGGAGGGAGCCTGCTGGTAGGTTTCCATATGCTTCTTCGAGTAGTTATGCTGGGCCTTCGGCAGATTTTCGAGCACCACCAGTTCCGCCGAGCCATGCCCCGAGGGCACGTGACATCAGGAAGAGGAGCCGCTCGCCTACTAGGGGTGCCCTTCCACCAAAAGACTATGGTGGGGATCTCAAAATGAAGAGGGGACGAGATGATCGACATGGCCCTGTGTAGAGAGGGAAGTATGTCGAAGGTTGCAATAAGGGCGGAGCTCGAATTACCTGGAGCATTTATAATTTTATAGTGCCTGTATGGAAAGGTTGAAATTTGTAGGATTGTTTGTGTGATCTGCTTGTCTGACAGGTTATAGACGTTTACTTTCGCTTGAATGAAGCATTTACTTTTGAACCGCGATTGTCCATCTTGTCACGGAGTTGCAAAAGTGCTCCGTGGCATTATACGAATTTTCTCGTCATTTTCAGTACCTCACTAATTTAGTTTTTTGAACTCTCACCAATTTAGTTAATTAAGGTAGAAAGTGAGCAAAAATTTGGATGGCTTGCCTAAACATGAGATTGTTCAATTCGAGCCAGTTTCTTTATCATCATGCAGTAATATTGATATGAAGTCTGTAAATATCCACTTTGGAATGACGCCGTTCATTTGATGGTAATTGCGGGTAGTTATGGCCACGGTTCGGAACCGGCCAGTTCCGGTTTGTGGCCATGTGTGAACCGGAACCGGAACCGCCCCTAGCGGTTCCGGTTTTGGTTCGGAACCGGCCGGTTCCGGTTCGTAATTTAAAAATTTTAAAAATAAATTATGAAATAAAAAAATAATGAATTATAAAAATATGAAATAATGAATTATTCAATATAAATTATAATCAAAATGAAAATTGTAGGGGCGATTGGTTCCCGGTTCCGACTGGGAACCAAACCGGTAAGACCGGTCCTTTAATTTTAGAACTAGGAACCGGACCGGTAAATCACAGAACCGGGAACCGGATCATTGGTCCGGTCCGGTTCTAGGCGATCCAATGGAACCCTTTGCTCTTAACTAGCAAAGGATCGTAACCACAAAAGGCATACAACTTCACATGCTCATGGCTTGGTTTGGGTTTTATAAACAACCCCTTTGATGGTCTATTCATTCCCATTCGATGTGGGACTATTGGCATTTGCATGAAGACAAGCCAAGAGTCTCACATTGAAGGTGTTCAAGGCAAGCCGAGAGTCTCACATCGAATGGGAATGAATAGACCATCAAAGGGGTTGTTTATAAAACCTAAGCCAAGCCTTGTAATTAGAGTTCAATACACCCAAGTCAAGCATTGTAATTGGAGATCAATGCACTTATAATGCATGGCAATTAGAGTTCAATTTGTTTAAAAAAAATTTAAATAATGAAATTTTTTTTAAAAAATAATTTGGAACCGGAACCGGGCCCGTAGGCCACGGGCCGGTTCCGGTTCCGAACTGAGGGCCCGGGTTTGACCGGGCCAGTTCCGGGCCGAAACCAGCCCGTGGCCATGACTTTGCGGGGGCGCAATGTAATTTTCCCTTTTCGTAGCGTGTGCTTCCAAACCCTATAGCGTGAATTGGGAATAGGGAAAAAAGGAAAAACGGGTACGGACATTGTTGATTCAGCATCAAAGAACGGGAGAAAGAACGCGCGGTCTTCCTTCGATAATTTGGTAATAAATGCATCCGAAAATGAATGCAAAATCCGAAAAGCCTTTGAAGTGAACTATGTTTTGAAATATTCCCGAAGTGGAAGCAAAATTCTCATAACCTAAGTTTCTATTATGAAAGTTTGGCGACGAATAGATAATCATATGAATATAATGAAAAACGGGGCTAATTTCATAAACGAGCTTTGACACAAACAGAACAAAGGATGACCTATTACCTCATGCGTCTACATTTTCGGCCAACGATCGAAAGCGTACTTTTCACCGCTCGAGAAACACTGCTTGGACGGCACATTAGGCGCGTAAATGTTCACGGTATCACCGAACATTCCATTCACTCGATCGGGGTGAAGCCCGAGCAATGCCCTTCGCAGATGTGTCCCTCACAAGCGAAGAACGTGCTTGGACGGAAAAGCGTATTCTAGTATACGGCGTAACGGCGGCGGGACATAGCTCGGGGCAAATCGACACGCATTTAACGTTAGGGGCAATACGAGATTTTCGCGTCTACGTGAAGGGGGGGTGAAACGAGACGAAATCCGCTTTCCTTGGGTCATTTTGTGATTCTTGCTATCTCGAGAGGCCATTTTCCGAATTAACTCTCGTATCGGAAGCTGGCCCGTACCGAAGCTGGCCATTTGCCTAAACATGAGATTGTTCAATTCGAGCCAGTTTCTTTATCATCATGCAGTAATATTGATATGAAGTCTGTAAATATCCACTTTGGAATGACGCCGTTCATTTGATGGTAATTGCGGGTAGTCATGGCCATGGTTCGGAACCGGTCTGTTCCGGTTCGGAACCAGCGGTTCCGGTTCGTGGCCATGTGTGAACCGGAATCGGAACCGCCCCTAGCAATTCCGGTTTTGGTTCGGAACCGGCCGGTTCCGGTTCATAATTTAAAAATTAAAAAAATAAATTATGAAATAAAAAAATAATGAATTATAAAAATATGAAATAATAAATTATTCAATATAAATTATAATCAAAATGAAAATTGTAGAGGTGATCGGTTCCCGATTCCGACCGGGAACCGAACCGGTAAGACCGGTCCTTTAATTTTAGAACTAGGAACCGGGAACGGGACCATTGGTCCGGTTCTAGGCGGTCCAATGGAACCCTTTGCTCTTAACTAGCAAAGGATCGTAGTCACAAAAGGCATACAACTTCACATGCTCATGGCTTGGTTTGGGTTTTATAAACAACCCTTTGATGGTCTCTTCATTCCCATTCGATGTGGGACTCTTGGCATTTGTATGAAGACAAGCCAAGAGTCTCACATTGAAGGTGTTTAAGGCAAGCTGAGAGTCTCACATCGAATGTGAATGAATAGACCATCAAAGGGGTTGTTTATAAAACCCAAGCCAAGCCTTGTAATTAGAGTTCAATACACCCAAGTCAAGCATTGTAATTGGAGATCAATGTACTTATAATGCATGGCAATTAGAGTTCAATTTGTTTAAAAAAAATTTTAAATAATGAATTTTTTTTATAAATAATTTGGAACCGGAACCGGGCCGGTTCCGGTTCGGAACTGAGGGCCCGGGTTTGACCGGCCCGGTTCCGGGCCGAAACTGGCCCGTGGCCATGACTTTGCGGGGGCGCAATGCAATTTTCCCTTTTCGTAGCGTGTGCTTCCAAACCCTATAGCGTGAATTGGGAATAGGGAAAAAAGGAAAAACGGGTACGGACATTGTTGATTCAGCATCAAAGAAAGGGAGAAAGAATTTAAATTGGACGCGCGGTCTTCCTTCAATAATTTGGTAATAAATGCATCCGAAAATGAATGCAAAATCCGAAAAGCCTTTGAAGTGAACGATGTTTTGAAATATTCCCAAAGTGGAAGCAAAATTCTCATAACGTAAGTTTCTATTGTGAAAGTTTGGCAACGAATAGATAATCATATG